AGCTGGTGCTGATTGTTAATAGCTGCTCTCTCTGAGGCCAAGTTTAAAGTTTTCTTCATGGATTGGCAGAACAATCGCCTCGGAGCTAGTGAGCGTCAGGGCAGTCTTGCTGCTACAAATGCATCGAGCAAAGTATGTTATGACCAAGCAAGCTTCCATGGGGGTTCTCTATGGAAAGAAGAGTGTCTCGTTGTAATGTCTCCTACTGTGTCCAGCAAGAGATATAGCAGGACACTGGCTTATCGAGCCTGAAGATCATTACGACCCTCCCGAAGCCCGCCCCGGAGGAGGAGCACACAGTACCAAAAAGTCCCGATCAGACCCCAGAAAGGTCTGTTCTGTTCCACCCTTCCCAGACATCTGCAACATGCAGGGGGCATGCAGATAAGCACATACTCCTCATGCTCAGGGTGATGTAAAGGAGGCATGGGGAGGTTGGTTTGGACACCCCATAAAAGGCAGACTCTTAGAGCAGCACAGGCTCGTGGTCATTGACCCTCTCCCCCATACCGGGATGGGGGAGCTACTGCCAGCCTTTGAGAAACCTGGGCACCAGAGCATGCTGAATTGCAGGTATGCCTCTCCCCTCCCGTCTCTCTGGCAGCTGCTTTCCTGCCTCAAGGGGTGGAAGAGACTTTGCCTTTGGGACAGGAGTTGGTCTCAGTCATGCCTCGGGACGGGAGGTTGGCTTCAGTGCTTTGTCTATACTGTTGTTGCTCAATAAACTGTGCTTCAGCTGTGAGTTTGTCTCTCATGTTTTTACTGGGCTGAAAGGGTCAGTGGGAATCTCTTCAGTAGTGCAAGATCCTGCCCGCTCTTGCGAGGGAGAACCAGCCCCCGCACCGTGACAGAGGCTGCTGGGAGGTTTGGTTTAAGCGCGTTCCCGGCCCTGTGGGTTGCAGTGTTAGCTGGTGGGAGTACCGGCTGCACGCTACCCCTGCAAGCTTGGACAGATCCAAGAAAGCGCTCAAACTCTGGATTTCCCAAACACTAAGTCCACTGAGGTGACTGGGCTTAGAAGGGTGTAACTCTCTCAAGATTTGGACAACAAATTTAGAGTCCAGTGGCACCTTTGAGACCAACAATGATTTATTCGAGGTATGAGCTCTCATGTGCAGGCAGACTTTATCAAAGATTTGGATGTCAGTTCCAGTTTTTAGAACTGTACTACAAAAAAGGAAAGACTGGCCCATGGCTACCCGAGAGCTTCAGTTCAACAAGGGAGTGTGTGGCAGATTTTATCAAAGATTTGGATGTCCGCTCCAGTTTTTAGAACTGTACTACAACAGAGGACCTAGCAGTTCGAAAGCAAGAAATTGCAAGTAGATAAATAGGTACCACTTCGGTGGGAAGGTAACAGTGTTCCGTGCGCCTTGGTGATTAGTCATGCCGGCCACATGACCACGGAAATGTCTTCGGACAGCGCTGCCTCTTCGGCTTGGAAACGGAGATGAGCACCGCAACCCTAGAGTCGGATTCGACTGGCTTTCGAGCAAGGGAACCTTTACCTTTACCTTTTTACAACAAAGGAAAGACTGGCCCATGACTACCCAGAGAGCTTCAGTTCAACAAGGGAGTGTGTGCAGCATTCCAACAACACTGTTGTTTACGAGGCAGCTGAAGGTGGTTTTGTTTAGGACTGCATTTGATTAAAGCTGTTCAGAACTATCATTTCCATCGGGCTTCGGAAGGAACACCTTTCAGTTTCTCTGCCATCAATGTTTTGGGAATTCCTTGTATAGGAGCAAGGCTGTTGCAAATCCATTGGGTTCAATGGTCCAGTAGCGCAAGCAGAAAGTGTGCACCCCCCCAATAACCCCCCACCTACTATTGGTGGGCTTTTATACACAAAAGGCACCGTGGGATGGGGCATGTTGGTGACAAGGGGAGAGGGGCAAGATCTGGCTCCTGATGAAGGAAGTATGCTGAAGGCTGCTCTCCATTTGGGCAAGGCAGAGAAGATATCACTTGATTCTCCCCTCCCTTCTTCTGGTCTGCAGGCCCTGGCACTGCCAGTAGTATTTATTTATTTTTATTTTATTCCATTTATACCCTGCCCTCCCCGCAATGCAGGCTCAGGGCGGCTTACATGGAGGCAAACGCCAATATAAAACATATATAAAAACATTTAAAATCACAACAAATACAAAAACATTTTTAACAAATTATTGACTAAAGTGCTCTAGGTGTTAAACATAATATTTCACAGATGGCGTATTTCAAACTATTCAGCATCATCTGCTCCAGGGAAACGCTAATGTTCCCTCCTCCAGGGCCAGGTAAAGATGGAGTAGTGGTGATGGTAGTGGCGGCTCCTAATCATAAGCCTGGGGGAAGAGCTCCGTCTTACAGGCCCTGCGGAACTGCATAAGGGAGCTCATTCCACCAGGTAGGAGCCGCCACCGAGAAAGCCCTGGCCCTGGTAGCGGCCAGCCTGGCCTCTTTGGGGCCTGGGATGACCAGGAGATGTTGGGTCCCGGACCGAAGTGCTCGCGGGGGAACATATGAGTACAGCAGGTACCACTCCTTGGGGCTGGCCTCACCCACCATATGGGGCTGGGAGCAGGCCACTCAGGCAGAGATTGGTAGATCCCCCAAATCAGGCTGGCCACCAAGGTGCACATGGTCATCTGGTCTTCCCACCGGTGTGCTGATTGCCACACTCTGAGGTTCAGGGGAGGGCTGTGTGCAAAGCTGCCTCACCAGTGGTAGCCGAGCCAGGAGGCATGGAGACCAAGACTTCCCCCTAAGGAATCCCACCTCCATTCTGTTTCTGCTTTCAGGCCACAGGGCAGCAGAACTCTTATCAGTGTATCACCAACTTAAGCAATTAACAGGCCTATTTGACAGTCTTTGTTTTTCTGATGACAGGAGAGTAACAAAGCAGGAATCAAGCAGCACCTTGGAGACTAACGGAACTTTGGTCTCCAAAGCCCCAAAGAGGCGAGGAACCCCTGGAGGTGGCAGTGTGGCCTTGCTGGACCCTTGGTCTGATTCAGAGTAAGGCAGTGTCAGGTGTGTGTGAATGAATGCAGCTGTGACTCACAAAAGCTTCAGCTGGCATGAAAGTTTTCAGAGGGCAGGTGCCCCCAGACTCCTCCTTTTGCAGACAGACATGTCTCTCCACCTGGGACTATCATACTCTGCTGAATTCCACCCCAGAGGAACTGTTTGGGTAATGTTCCTTACAGGCCTCAGTGGTTTTTCTTTCATTAACTGCGATCAAAATTTCAAACACTGCAGGGAATGAAAAAGAATGCCAAGTGGGAACTTTTTATATTCTGTGAGGAAGAATAATCCCTCTCTAGGTAGGAAAAGTCTACACCTTGGATCCACGTTTTTGCACTACTGCGATGCCACAGAACAGAGCATCCACATGTTTTGTGGTTGGGTCCACAGACATTGACACAATGTCTAAATTTACCTAATGCAAAAATCCTGAGGATCCATGAGGATCTGTGCTTTGGAACCATGTTTTTGCACGGTGGTGCTGGCACAAATTGATGGATACTGGATTTTTGTGGTGCAACCTGGGGCCACAGATATGACTGGATGATGACTCTGGGGAGACCAAACATGAGTACTCATGCTTTAGAACCAAATCTTTGCACCATGGCGGTGCCAAAAATCAGTAGATCCATGATTTTTGTGATGCAAGGTGATACTGTACACTTTTACTGTATACTTTTTACTGATACTGTACTGATATGTGATTTTATGCTGAGCTTGGGGTGACTGAACACAAAATCCTGAGGATCCATGAGGATCTCTGCTGTGGAACCACATTTTTATGTCGTGGTGATGGCCACGAAGCTGTGGATCTGTGATTTTTGTGGTGCTGCCTATAGACCAAGACGGGATCTATGATATGTTGGTGATTTTATTTTGTTTCAGTATAAGAATCATATGAATTAATGAGGATCCATTTAAACGCCAGCTGGTTCAGAATGCAGGAGCCCAGTTCTTGTCGGGTGCTAGCTAATGGAAACACATCATGTCCACCTGAAACCTGCACTAGCTGCCAGTGTGTTTCAGAGTACAATTCAAGGTGCTGGTTATGCCCTCTAATGCCTTTCATGGCCTCAGACCTCCATGTCTGTCTCATTTCCTCCCATGTAATCCCTGTGTACCATCTGCAGTCTTCAGGATGCCACCTGCTGGCTGTTCCCCCAGTTAAGTAGGATGGCCTGGCATCCGCCAGAGCACCTTCCTTTTCCATTCTAGCTCTTGCTCTGCAGAATGGGTTCCCTGAGGAGGGGGGAGGGAGCCTACCCCTACCAGGGAAGGCGGGGTAGGCGTATAGTAAAGGTAAAGGTTCCCTTGCTCGAAAGCCAGTTGAATCCGACTCTAGGGTTGCGGTGCTCATCTCCGTTTCAAAGCCGAAGAGCCAGCGCTGTCCGAAGACGTTTCCGTGGTCATGTGGCCCGCATAACTAAACACCAAGGCGCACGGAACGCTGTTACCTTCCCACCGAAGTGGTACCTATTTATCTACTTGCAATTTCTTGCTTTCAAACTGCTAGGTTGGCAGGAGCTGGAACTAGAGATGGAAGCTCACTCCATCATGCAGCACCCAGGTCTCGAACTGCTGAACTACTGACCTTCCACAGCCTGCAGTTCAGTGTCTTAACCACTTGAGCCACCGCAGCTCAATATTAGTGTATTAGTATATTAGTGCATAAATAAATATGCAGGGGTGTTTAAAGGCTGCTCTTAATCGTTCCCCCGGCAAAGCTAGGAAATGATTCTTCTGTTGCCACCGATTCTCCTCTGCTGGAACTCCCCCGACATGCTCCTTCATGCTTCCTCGCCAGATGTGTGTCTGGGACACACGTCTGCCCAGGCAGGACACCGTTAAGCATCCGGAGACAAAGGTGGCATTCCTCTGCAGTTGGAGAAAGCACAGGCGGCACCCAAAGCCCAAAAACAGCTCTGCCAGCCTTCCGCTCAGGTTGGCCAAAACTGGAATGAAGAATCGGGGCCTTTGATTCAAAACGGCTGAAGCAATTTTATTGCTGTCTGTAAAAGATGGCACACTTTGGTGGCCGATGCTGCTGTATCTATCAGTTCCACACGTGGCACTTGCCCCTGAATGCTGAACACTGCTTGCCCGTTTAGAAACATGTAGCTCCGGGACCAGAGAGTCTAGAAACTTGTTGGACAGAGAGAAGGGAAGAAAACTGGACGGATTTTCTCAGGTCAACCTTCCTGTGGTTCCCGCACAGACAAAATCACAGACAGCGGCCTTGGCTGTGCCTGTGCAGGGGGGAATGGACAGACACAGGAGCCCTGAGATGGGAGGTGCCCTCAGCGCCCATCACTCTGGCATCCAGGCTGTTCCAGATGCTGGGGGACTCCAGGCACTGTATTCGCCATTATCGAGGTAGTCTTTAGTGGCCACCTGGACGTGGTACGTGGCTCCTGGACGGATCCCAGTCAAAACGAAAGAAGTTTGCTCCGAAGGCCTGGTCTGAAAGAGGCGACAGAGCCACAGAGGTCAGGCTTTAGCCCTGCTTTTGAACTCACGAAAGCTGCCTGATTCTGAGCCAGACCCCTCGTCTCTCCCAGGGTCAGCATTGTGTCCACTATGACTGGCAGCTGCTCTCCAGTCTTCCCACCTGCTACCCGATCCCTTTAAACAGAGATGCCAGGGACTGAAACTGGGATGCCAGTCGTCTCCTCCCATCACCACCACCAAGCCGAAGAAAGCCAGCCCCCAGCCAACTGGCTAGTTTTCTCTTGGCATGACCCGTTTCCCTCTCTTCTGGCCAGTTGCCAAATGAGGTTTTCTTCAGAGAATGAAGGGAGCAGGTGAGGGGCTTTTAAAAAACCCCACTATTTAGTGCTTTTTAAGGCAAAGGGGTTTGCTGTGCCGCACCTTTAAGACCTTAGGCTTGCAGCCAAGTTTGACTTTCGTTTTCAGCTGAGATTTTTCCTTTGCCTCAAAAGTAGCTTTTATGTAGGGTTGCCAGGTCCATACCATGTTGCCTTGAACCCTCCTGGGAGTGTCGTGTGTCTGGGAGGCAATGGACCACCCCATCGACCACCCCCAGTGGTGAGCTCCTATCTTTGTCCTTGAGTCTTTTCGTGTGCGCACTTTGCACCCACCCTGCAATGACATCACCCGAAAGTGACGTCATTGCACAGGCACATTGCGAAGGGAACACGCTAGCATTTTGCAGGGAACTCTATGGTAACCATAGTGTTTTCCAAATGCTAGAGCATTCCCCGCGTGATGTGCCCTGTGCAGTCATCATGCTGAGCACGGAAGGACTGCTTGGAGGTGAGGCTGGGTGGATTGGCAGCCCCAGACTGGAGCCGAAGAAGAAGGAGATGGAGGAGAAGGAGAAGAAGAGAAGAAGAAGAAGAGGAGGAGGAGGAGATTAGATTTATACCCCGCCCTTCACTTGGAGTCTCAGAGCGGCTTACAAACTCCTTTCCCTTTCCCTCCCCACAACAGACATCCTGTGAGGTAGGTGGGGCTGAGAGAGCTCTGACAGAAACGGCTCTTTTTCAAGGACAGCTGTGCCAGAGCTTGTGACTGACCCAAGGTCACATCAGCAGGTGCAAGTGGAGGAGTGGGGAATCAAACCCGGTCCTCCCAGATTAGAGTCTGCACACTTAACCACTACACCAAACTGGCTCTCCAAAAGCAGGGGGAACTCGAAAGCAGGGGAACTCCCACCCCCATTGGAGGAATGGCAACTGTATAAACATGGCAGCTCTGTTTGACTACCTTTTCTGGCAGCCTCATCTAACTTGAGAGTTAGAATGAGAGGGCAGAGGGAGACAGAGAGGAAGGGCTGAGTACCTTCGATGAATTAACCTTTTCTCTTGGCTCTGTTCCGTGACCCCCCAGCTCTATCCCTGGCTGCAGCCCGCACCCTACTGAGCACCACCCTTCGATTCACTTGGAGATGGCCTTCCTCTTGCCAGAGTGACACCTTCCAAGGTGGGGGGCAAACCTAGCCACAGCAGCAAGCTGGCATCTCAGGGGGGGTTGCCTTGAACCTGCCTGGCAGTGTCACATGTCTGGGAGGCAATGGCAGGCGCAAGCCCATGCCTGTTGCCACCTCCTGGACCACCCCCCACCCCCAGCAGTGAGCAAGCTGAGCCCCAGGGGCACCTCAGCACCAGTGTTCCCTCTAAGCTGAGTTAGTGTGAGCTAGCTCACAGTTTTTTAGCCTCCGGCTCACACATTTTCGTCTTGGCTCAGGAAGGAGGGCTCCAGAGCAAAGTAATTGATGCAGCAGCCAAATCGCTGGCTCACCACTTTAATGCCAGTAGCTCACAAAGAAGAATTCTTGCTCACAAGACTCCACAGCTTAAAGGGAACATTGCTCAGCACCCTTCCTCCACTCTGGCCTCCCAAGCAGTCGTGTGGGCAGAGCATTGGCCCCGGATACTTGCCAGGGCTTGGAACAGGAGGAGCGGTTTTGCATCGAGAGTTAATGTTAGTCTGTAAGAACAGCATGCAGCCTTTGGGATCCTCTGTCTACAGAGACAGATCAAGATGGGTGGCCGTGTTAGTGTGTCTGCAGCAGGGCAGCAGCCGAAAAGAGCAAGGGTCCAGGAGCACGTTCAAGACTAACAGCATTTGTGGCAGGGGGGGAGCTTTCCTGAGTCACCCGCTCACTTCTTCAGATACGTATACAGGCAGGAAGAGCTGAGTACCTTAGATGGATTAACATACTTCAGTATCTGAAGAAGTGAGCAGTGGCTCACGAAAGCTCCTGCCCTGCCCCATATTTTATCTGTCTACAGAGTTTGGCCCACTGATCCCTCTCACCATTTTGCTGCTGTTGGTCCCATTCCTCGAGTAACGGATCACATACTTGAGGGGGAAGTACTCGAGAAACAGCCAGGAACTGGGAGGCTTCCAGTCCAAACGCAGCTTCCGACTCTCTCTTGGGATCGTGGAAACCTTCAAGTCTTCCGGAGGATCCGGCTTGACTGATAAAAAGCCATGATGGGGAAATGGTCATCAAACACAAGGCAGCCATAAGATGTATGAAGCCCTCAAGGGGGTGGGGGCAGGAATTCCACCCTGTCCCTGCGTTGGGTGGGACTGAGTCAATTGCTCCCGGTTCATCCTTGTCACATCCCTGGTCCCCTTCAAATGATCCTTGGCTCTGATTCTGCTGCATTTCTTCCTTGGGTGTGGCTGGACCATTCCGTCGCTACCCATGCAGACACACACACCACTGAATTATCTGCCTGCCTGTTAGAGTTACCAGACGATTCTGCCTGTTGCACCTCTGCATGAGCATTCTCACTGTGAGCTTCCAGATGAGAGGCTGTAGTGATCCGCCAGTTGCCCCTCCCTAACCCCCCCCTTTTCTGTATCAAGGATGAAACAGTTTGCCTGTGCCGCCAAAACCTCTGGGTACCTCCAGCTTGCAGGAAGGGTCAAGGGAGGGGCAAGGGAGGTGAACCTCCCATCTGGGGAAGAGGGACAGAAGCCCCCCAGAGTCTGACAGGCCCCCTTGTACACAATAACCAGGCCAGTGGGCAAAGCAACATGTAAATGGTTTCCTTCTGGCCTTTAGATTGGTCATGTAGGAATTCAGGAGCCCAGGGAGGGGGAAGTCCTCCCCAGGTTCCTGATATTTATCACAGGGCTCTTTTTGTAGAAAAAGCCCAGCAGGAACTCATTAGCATAATAGGCCACACCCAACAGCAGGAACTCATTAGCATATTAGTCCACACCCCTGACAGCACAGCTCATTAGCACATTAGGACGCACCCCCATGTTACCAGAAGTGTGGTTATCCAGCCACACCCACCTTTTGCTTGTTATTCTGTTTACCTTGTTTGTTGTCAAAACCCAGGGCCTTTTTTTTGTAGCAGGGACTCCTTTGCATGTTAGGCCATGCACCCCAATGTAGCCAATCCTAATGAGTTTCTGCTGCTGGGTGTGGCCTATTATGCTAATGAGTTCCTGCTGGGCATGGCCAACTTGGGAGCCAGCCGGAACTCCGTTCCTGTGCGTTCCTGCCCAAAAATAGCCCTGTTTATCAAACCAGCAACAAGACATTTTAGACTGGGGTCCCCAGCATGATGCCCATGTGCATCATGGGGCCTGCTGAGACCTTTCCTGGCACCCGCCCAGTGTTTTTAGAAAGAGGGCGGTAGGGCATTTGCCCAGCAGTGCTTCCGATTGGCCACTGGAGATTTCGTTGGCTGTGGAGATTTTTTTTAAAAATTGCTTTGGCAGCAGCTGCCAGAACAGCATAAGGATCTACACTGTGTGCCGCAAGATGTGGCTGGCTCCACCTCCCGCGGCAGCCGTTTTGTGGCGGTGCCCACCACCCTGTATCAGAATTCTTGATGCACCCACAGGCTCAGAAAAGCTGTGGGGCCCCATTTCGGCCTGCTAAGGAATGTATCCTGTTTAGCTGACACATGGATACCCTGATGGAGGGCAAGCCTACCCCTTGGGTCACCACAGAGAGATGAGGGGCAGCTTCTTCAGAGAGCCAAGAACAAGACAGGCTTTGGTGTGAATACAATAGGAAAAAGAAGCTCACCAAAGAAAATCATTCTTCTATAATTTTAACACACTTAGTTGTACTTAAATCGCAGATTTCCTGTATTAGACAACACAAGGGGCGGGACCCGCGATACTCGCGGGGGGGAGGGACCTCGACACTTATGAAGCAGAGGAGGAAGCAGGAGGAGGAGGTAAGTTCCCCTCCATCCCGCCGGTTCCCCCCCGTCTCCCCCCCTCAACCCCCTCTCGATCTCCCCCCCTCCTCTTCCCCTTCCTCATGAACCAGATCAGTGAGTGTGTGCAGGATCGAAGCCTCCGTCTTTCCCTCTTGTCATAGCCAAGACCCGCCTTTCCCCCCAGGTTAGAAGAGGAAGTTGCTCTCACCACCGAAGAGGTGCCTGAAGCGGCTTCTTTCGAGGGCTGCCTGGCTCTCTGAAGAGGAAAAATAAGCTCACCAAATAAAATTACTCTTCTGTCATTTTAACACACTTAGTTGTACTTATATCACAAATTTCCTGTATTAGACAACATTCATTCTTGTGTGAAGTGCATTTCATGGACATAAGCAAAGCCAGTAAATAGTAACATAAATACAATACAAAGCAATACAAAATCTTGATGTAGTTGTTCTTAACACTGTTTTGGCTCTGCGTCCTGGAATGTTTATTCTTTAAGACGTCCTGACGGCGCTGTGAAGAGGACAAAGCAGACTGAAAAGTCCTAATTTTTCAAGTTCCCGAACAGTATTTATCACTCCTTCATTTGGAAACATGTGGATCCAAGAAATGTAGGAGATAAAGAGAACACGTTTTCCTAGGGTTAAACAGCGGTTTTGTATGTCTTTTTCAACTCTATCTCTCTGTTGGTGTTTGTCACCAATCTCTTGAGGTAGCTGTTTTAAAACAAAACATGTGTCTTACATCAATACAGAAATAATTAACCTTCAGTTTCCCGAGAGGAAAAGAACAATCACTCCCCACTAGCAGGAATAACAATAATATGGATCAACACAACCTCTTTCTAATGTCTTCCCCAAAGCTCTTAGTGACAAGCTTGAAAAACAAGGACTTTTCAGTCTGCTTTGTACTCTTCACAGCTCGGTCAGGACATCTTAAAGAATAAACATTCCAGGAGCAGAGCCAAAACAGTGTTAAGAACAACTTGTTGTTGTTCAGTCGCACAGTCGAGTCCGCCTCTTTGCGACCCCATGGACCAGCTCCCGCCAGGCCTTCCTGTCTTTCGCCGTCCTCTGAAGTTTGCTCAATTTCATGTTCGTTGCATCGATGACATTGTCTAACCATCTCATCCTTTGCCGTCCCCGTCTTCTTTGACCTTCAATCTTTCCCAGCATCAGGGTCTTCTCCAATGAGTGCTCCCTTCTCATTTGGTGGCCAAAGTATTTGAGCGTCAGTTTCATTATCTGGCCTTCCAAGGAACAGTCAGGGTTGATTTCTTTTAGGATTGACTGATTTGATCTTCTTGCAGTCCAAGGGACTCTCAAGAGTCTTCTCCAGCACCATAGTTCAAAATAATCTATTCTTCGGCGCTCGGCCTTCCTTATAGTCCAACTCTCGCAGCCATAAGAACAACTACATCAAGATTTTGTATTGCCTTGTATTCTATTTATGTTACTATTTACTGGCTTTGCTTATGTCCATGAAATGCACTTCACACAAGAATGAATGTTGTCTAATACAGGAAATTTGTGATATAAGTACAACTAAGTGTGTTAAAATGACAGAAGAGTAATTTTATTTGGTGAGCTTATTTTTCCTCTTCAGAGAGCCAGGCAGCCCTCGAAAGAAGCCGCTTCAGGCACCTCTTCGGTGGTGAGAGCAACTTCCTCTTCTAACCTGGGGGGAAAGGCGGGTCTTGGCTATGACAAGAGGGAAAGACGGAGGCTTCGATCCTGCACACACTCACTGATCTGGTTCATGAGGAAGGGGAAGAGGCTGGTGCTGGTCCCCAGGGGGTTCACTGCGGTCACGTTCAGCACGTAGGGGACGACGGAGAACAGCTGCACATCAGCAATGGAGCAGCTGTCGGCTCCCGAACTTGCTCGCACGCACTCGTGCTCCTCTCCGTCCATGCCGTGCCTGATGTGCAAAGAGACCAGAGCTTAACAACTGTTCAGGAGCAGGTTCGTGAGGCATATGAAGGCCCAGGTCATGAGGGTTGCCTAGTTGGCATTTTTCCAACTGCGCCAGGTCAGGCAGCTGGCTCCCTACCTGTCTCGCCCCGACCTAGCCACAACGCTCCCTCTAAGCTGTGGAGTCTTGTGAGCAAAAATTCTACTTTGTGAGCGACTGGCATTAAAGTTGTGAGCGAGCGATTTGGCTGCTGCATAAATGAGTTTGCTCTGGAGCCCTCCTTCCTGAGCGAAGACAAGAATGTGTGAGCCGGAGGCTAAAAAACTGTGAGCTAGTTCACGCTAACTCAGCTTTTAGAGGGAACACTGATTCCACACAACAGTCACCTCCAGGACAGACAACTGTAATTCGCTCTATGAAGGCCTACCCTTGTGCCCGACCTGGAAGCTCCAACTGATGGAGAGTGCGGCCGTGCAGGTCTTTACGGGGACCCCTCGGACAGCACACGTTCAACCTGTGCTGCAACCTGTACTGGAGCACCGGAACTGGTTCAAGGTTTTGGTGTTGACCTTCAAAGCCCCTAGCAGTCAGGGACCCACATACCTGTGGGACCACCTCTCTCAGTATGCTCCTGGAAGAGCCTCAGGGAATAAGAATCTGCTTGTGGTCCCCAGCGCGACAGAGGTCTGGCTGTCCTCGACTGGGGCCAGGGCCTTTTCAGCCCTGGCCCCTGCGTGGTGGAACTCTCTGCCAGAACATATCCAGGCCCTGTGGGATTTACTGCCTTTCTGTAGGGCCTGCAAGGCAGAGATGTTCTGCCAGGCCTTCGGTTGAGGACAGCGACAGGTGGCACTCTCATACCCTCCCACCCAGCCCTCCACACCCCTTCACTCAGGGAGCCGATGGGAACAGACATTTTCGCCATCTTAAATAATGAAGTTGTATTGTCTGAAGTATATTGTTTCAGTAGTCTTTAATTGTTATTTAATGGAGTATCGCTATGTTTATTTGATGTAAGCCACCCTGAGCCCTGCTTGCAGGGAAGGGTTGACTAGCCAATTGAAATTAATAAATAAATGAATAAATACATGAAGCTGAACTACCCGAAGAGGCACTGCATGAGTTTCTGCACTGGCCCGGTCCCCTTCAAAGCAGCCTCTGCTGGGGGCAGGTAATCCTACCCCATCTCTGCACTGGGTCTCATTGGATCATTCCTGATGCACATATGAAGCAGAGTTACCTGAGGAGGCTTCCTGCTGCTTCACTGCATGAGTCGTCGTTCTGGCTCACTGATTTTGCTGGAGGCAGGTAATGATCTACAGCTAGGCTTGACTCCTCATCTGCTTTGCATGCAGAAGGCTCGAGGCCCTGCCATTCCCAAGGGCAGCAGACCCTGGTTCGGTTGGTCTGCAAGAGCAACCCTCTTTGGGAATCAGCCAGTTAACTTGTGAACTTTTTCTTGCAGGACTACTTCAAAAGACTGGGGCTTGGCTTATATCCAGTGTAAGGCTTCACAGCACTTGAAACCACAGGGAGGGGTCATGTCTGCCCCCCCAAGCGCCTTGAAGGAAAGGCAAGATCAAAATGTGCTTGACGGACAGACAGGTGCCGTGAAAGAGAGGAGGGGTGGGGCTAGGAGACCAGGAGCATCAAGGGATTAGTCCTTTTCATACCGATACGTGGTGACGAACGACGTGTCCAAGTGAGTCTCTGTTTCCAGTTTCCAGGTGCAGTTGATAGGACTGGCGTAGCTGGTGGCAAAGCACTGGATAGAAGGTTTCTCGGGGGGATCTGCGAAAAAGAAGGAAAAGGGGAGAAGTCGCATGGAGGGCCCATCTGGGCCTCTCTCTTGACCCTTTGCTGACCGATTGTCTAGAGGAATATACATTCCAGTGTGATTGCCTTTTGTACATCGCCTACAGCCCCACAATTGTGGGGATAGGTGATTAATAAATGGAATGAAATAAGTAAATAAATACTGAATGGATCCTCCTCCCTGGGGAGCGTGAAAAGCAGGAGTCGAAGGTGGGAGGTTATTTGGGGGGTTGTCTGCCCTTCGTGTTCCCCAGCTCCACTTCCTGAGCAGTTGGGTACCACCAGTTATGTACATTTTCTTCCCCCACCCAAAACCAGGAGGCTCCGCCCCATCTTAACTGGCTGGTGCCCTGACCTTCCAGTCCCCACCCTTCTGCTCTCAAGCTCCGCCCATGGCCTCTAAGACCCTCTGTAGACCTCCACTCTGCTATGAAGCTCAATGGCTGCTGTCTTTCTCTCTCCCACTCACAGCCTCAGCTGCATCACAGGGTTGTTGTGGGGTTAAAACGGGGAAGGGAGGACCGCAGGGTTGCTTGCCAGCCTACGAGGCAACTCGTGGGAGCTCTGAGAGGGCGGAGCGTGGGGAGGTGGACTGTTGGCGACAGGGCAGCATCACTTCCAAGTGAACACCCAGGAGCGACACCAATACCGTCCTCCAACACTCTAGGAAGTCCACCAATGCCTGTGATAAAGACTATCAAAACTGGGGACATTCCTAGAGTGTCGAGGGCACAGCAATCAGAAGTGACATTGCCACGTGTCCATGACATCGCCTCCTCCTTGCCGCAAGGATGGATAAGGGCGTAGGAGAGCTGGTGGGGGTGGGAGGTTGCCCACTGAGGCATCCAGCCGGAGAGACGGAAGAGGCAGCAAAATTATCCCAAAGGCAGCCTGAATGTTTTTCTACTCACAGCCCAGGTTCAGGTAGACTCTGTGCAGCGCCCGTCCTGTCGTGGGATCGTGGCAGCTGTATTCTGCCTCCTGAGCCAGGCTGACATTCCGCAGGGCCAGGCTGCCATCTTCTCGCACTGACGCTTTCCAAATGGGCCCTGCTGTGTGGTTCGCTCGCCATTCCACTGTGGATACACCTCCGGGGGCAGGGCACTTCAAGAGCACTTCGGCAAGTTCTAGAGTGGCGTATTGCTGGACTACGAGATCTGCTATCCCCCCCCCCCAATAGCAAAACCCAGGAGGCGAAAGGTTAGTATATGACCCGTGGATCTGGATTGGGTCAAGAATGGTTTATCTGCCATATTGGCAACTGCCCTGACGTGGGTGGGCCAGCTTAGCCCAATCTCATCAGATCTTGGAAGCCGAGCAAGGTCGGCCCTGGTTAGTACTTGGACGAGAGACCGCCAAGGAAATCCAGGGGTCCTCCAGGAGGCAGGCAATGGCAAACCACCTCTGTTTGTCTCTTGCCTGCCTGGAAAGGCCTATGGGGCGCCAGATGTTGGCTGCTACTTGATGGCAATTCCCACCACCATATTGGCAGCCCATCTTTCTTCTAACATCTTCAACCTGTCCAGACCCGGGACCTGCTAAGCAGTAATCACATGACCTCAGAGTCACATGACAGGAAGAGGGGGAGCCAGAGTGACAAGGGCACCAACGTTAGCATTACAGGCGGCGGCAGCTGGGATCAGAAACACAAGCCAGGCACCGCAATAAGGAACGAGCCACGGCAGAGCCACGGAGGAAGCGTTCCACAGCTGGAGGACCTTGTGCAGCCCTCTTGCTGTTTCCCTCAAGTGCATGTACAACATGGGCATGCGCCCAACGGCAGGTCCTTCCAAAAGGCAGCTAGCAAAATGGAGCAAAAAGGAGTCTGTGGGGTGTGGAATGGCGTGGTACAGTGCCGTCTCCTCAGACCTTGGGAGCTAAGCAGGGTTGGTCCTTGGGAGGAGACCACCAGGGAAGATGTTGCAGCGGCAGGCAACAGCAAGCCACGCCTCGTAAGCCCCTTTCTGGCGTCACCATAAATCGGCTGCAGTTTGGTGGCACTTTACACACACACACACACACACACACAGAGGGGGAAAATCACTTTACGCAGGGGTCACGGCCATGTGGATATAGCCCTGGGGCCAGGAGGTCTGAACAGAGCCGCTGGCAAGCTGGCAGCCCTGAGCTCTAGCCAAAGCCCAGGAACGGAAGGACCACAGAGCAGGGCCACAGGGAAGCCTCTCACGTCGAAAGGAGCCAGAAGAGCTCCTGTGGTGACAAGGGGCAGGTCTCGTCGGAGTAAAAAAGGGACTCTCCTGATCAGTTTCGGTTTTGACTCAGGATTTCCACCCCTCACCCCCCCTGCTGCTGCCCTTTGCAAGCTTGAAGCCACCAGAGCTGCCAGGCTGCCACACTCACCTTTCACTTGTGAAGTGGGACTGCTCCAGCAGTCAACCATCCCGTACCCATGGGTATTTCCACGCAGGTCACTTGATGCTGTTGGGAAGTGGGGCTCTCCCGCTTCCCCGCAGCACAGTGATGCGTTTGTGCGCCTCCTGGAGTTCCCCCAGTTTTCCCCACTGTTCTTCAAGCCTGCTTTGCTCTGAAGTTTTGGGAAAGGCCGCAGCAAAGTCTAGGGGGTTGCCGGGTGGATGGGAAAGTTTGGGTTTTCCTGTTCCCGCCCACACAGCAGCCATCCCCCCCACAATAGCCATTTCCTCTCCTCTACTGCAGTTGAGAAATACTGTTACACCAAAATATCCATCAGGTTCCCTGAATTCTCAGATTTAGTTTTGTTTAAAAAGGAAGTCTCTAGTGACTTTCCTCGCAGAGATATGGGGGAGGAACATACCCCCACAACCAAATGTGCTAGAGATTTAACTTTTCTTTTAATGAAAGTTGGGAACTCTCAGAACCTGATGCATCTTTTCGTATAACAATCTATTGATATAATGCTATTAAACCGCCAATAAAAGAAACCTTGTAACCCCCGTGCTGTATTAACAGGCCCAACAGGAGACCTACACAAGCCAGCTCTGTGTTGAAAACATGCAGGTATTTCAGTTCGCAATGGTGCTGTCCAATTAATTATAATGCACGCTGAATAAACCCTTGGAGATAGAGGGGTTTCCAGGGATGCACCATTGTGCACTGAAATACACATGCATGGAGATCCTGTGTGCACCTTGCAGCAATCCCAAAAGCAGCACCCATTCTGGTGTTGTAATTTTTATGTCACTGAGTGAAGAAGAAGAGATTGGATTTATACTCCACCCTTCACTACCCAAAGGAGTCTCAGAGCGGCTTACAAACTCATTTCCCTTCCCCTCCACACAACAGTCACCCTGTGAGGTAGGTGGGGCTGAGAGAGCTCTGACAGAAACTGCTCTTTTTCAAGAAAAGCTTGCCCAATGTCATCCAGCAGCTGCAAGTGGAGGAGTGGGGAATCAAACCCAGTTCTCCCAGATTAGAGTCCGCGCACTTAACCACTACACCAAACTGGCTCTCTGGAAATGACACCGTCAGAATTGTCGTCTCTGTTGGGATTGCACAACATTCACACAGTCTTGACAGCAAGGGCTGAGGTGTGCTCCAGAGAACGTGGCACAAGTTGCCACAGGAAGGAAGATGCTCAATCTCATGGTGATTCTGCAAATATGGGCATAGGTCTGGCCACTAAACAGCCACCAAAATGCCCGTCTTCTTCACCCAGAAACAAAGTGGATCCCCACCCCCACCCCCGTCCTCATACCTTCCTCCTTTTGGAGCCAGGTGGGGTCTTTGTATGAAGCAGAACAAGTTGGCAGGAGAAGGGTAAGCGTCAGGATCCACAGGATGTCCATTGCCAGGGAGAGAGATGTCACATAGCTGAGAATTCCCTCTGAAGGAATCTGTAAGCCCAAAGATGTGGAAAGATTCTCAGCGGTGTCTTCAAACCAGAAGCATCCATGAGCAGAAGGGAACATCCAGAGGGCTTCTGAGGCAGGGAGTTGGGAACGGTGCCTTGTTGTCTTTACCAGCGTTCCCTCTAAGCTGAGTTAGTGTGAGCTAGCTCACCGTTCTTTAGCCTCCGGCTCACACGTTTTTGTCATAGTTCAGGAAGGGCGGCTCCAGAGCAAACTAATTGATGCAGTAGCCAAATCGCTCGCTCACAACTTGAATGCCAGTCGCTCACCAGGTAGAATTTTTGCCCACAAGGCTCCACAGCTTAGAGGGAGCGTTGGTCTTTACCATCTGGGTGTGTGCATGCTTTTAGAGTTTTATATAATCTGTCCTTTCCCCAAATAAATCCTTCCCCCCTCCCCGGTTAAAGATTTGACGGCTTTGCCCTGGGGGACACTCAGCAGTTCTGGTCATCTTTCAGATAAGGAGCCATGCCGTTTGGTTCCTTCGTCTCTTTCGTGGCCCGGCCAACCTCCGTGCTCGCGGCGGCGATTTCTGGCTCTTCCAGGTCTCGCTTGGCTGCGCTCGCTGGGCGCCTCTCTAAAACCCCCCGGGAAGCGCCCAAGAGTCGTGGTGGGTCCTGCTGCTCCGCACTGCCTCGCGTCCACCGACCCTGCTGTTCTTTCGTCCCGCGAAGAGAGCAAGTCCGCAAGCCGGCGAGACCCACCCGAGCCCGGAGGAGGTCCGGCGACTCCGCGTCATTCGGGGGCTGCCTGCCAGCCTCTCTGCACTGGCGGCTCCGGGAGCCCCGGGCAGCCTTTTCCCAGCAGAAGGGCGGGTTTCCGCCCTCTCCCCCGACCTGCCCCGGCCGCGGGCCTCGGGATCGACCGCCAGAGGCGCTGCCAGAAAACGCCCCTTCCTGGATCCCCGCTGCCCTCGCCTCGATTTCCGATGCAGGCGAGAGGAAGTCCTTCATTTTTTGTTGTTCAGTCGCACAGTCGAGTCCGACTCTTCGCGACCCCATGGACAATCTCCCGCCAGGCTCTCCTGTCTTCCGCCGTCCTCCGAAGTTGGCTCAATTTCATGTTCGTTGCATCGCTGACACTGTCTAACCATCTCATCCTTTGCCGTCCCCGTCTTCTTTGACCTTCAATCTTTCCCAGCATCAGGGTCTTTTCCAGTGAGTGCTCCCTTCTCATTTGGTGGCCAAAGTATTTGAGCTTCAGTTTCATTATCTGGCCTTCCAGGGAACAGTCAGGGTTGATTTCTTTGAGGATTGACTGATTTGTTCTTCTTGCAGTCCAAGGGACTCTCAAGAGTCTCCTCCAGCACCATAGTTCAAAAGAATCTATTCTTCGGCGCTCGGCCTTCCTTATAGTCCAACTCTCACAGCCATACATGACTACTGGGAATACCATTGCTTTGACCATGCGGACTTTTGTTGGCAGGGTGATGTCTCTACTTTTTATCATGCTGTTTAGGTTCGCCATCGCTTTCCTCCCAAGGAGCAGGCGTCTTTTAATTTCATGGCTGCAGTCACAGTCTGCGGTGATCTGGGATCCCAGGAACGTGAAGTCTGTCACTACTTCCACAGCTTCCCCTTCTATTTGCCAAGGAGTGATGGGGCCGGATGCCATGATCTTAGTTTTTTTGATGTTGAGCTTCAAGCCCACTTTTGCGCTCTCCTCTTTTACTCTGAACAAGAGGCTCTTTAGATCCTCTACAGGATGCTGGACTAGATGGACCCCTGGTCTGATCCAGCAGGGCTCTTCTGATGTTCTTATGAAGGCCTCTGGTTCTCTGCCCTGTCATCAGCCCTCCAGAGGAACTGGCTGGCCACTGTGTGAGACAGGATGCTGGACTGGATGGTCATAGATCCAGAGGAGTTAGCCGTTTTAATCTGTTGCTTTTGTTGTTGTTTGGTCACACAGTTGAGTCTGACTCTTCGCGACCCCATGGACCACATCACGCCAAGTCCTCCTGTCTTCCGCTGTCCTCCGGAATTTATTCAATTTCATGTTTGTTGCATTGATAACACTGTCTGACCATCTCATCCTTTGCTGTCCCCTTGTTCTTTTACCTTCAATCATTCCCAACATCAGGGTCTTCTTCAGTGAGTGCTCCCTTCTCATTTGGTGGCCAAAGTATTTAAGTTTCAGTTTCATTATCTAACCTTCCAGGGAACAGTCAGGGTTGATTTCTTTGAGGATTGACTGATTTGTTCTTCTTGCAGTCCAAGGGACTCTCAAGAGTCTTCTCCAGCACCATAGTTCAAAAGAATCTATTCTTCGGCGCTCGGCCTTCCTTATAGTCCAACTCTCACAGCCATACATGACTACTGGGAATACCATTGCTTTGACCATGCGGACTTTTGTTGGCAGGGTGATGTCTCTACTTTTTATCATGCTGTTTAGGTTCGCCATCGCTTTCCTCCCAAGGAGCAGGCGTCTTTTAATTTCATGACTACTGTCACAGTCTGCAGTGATCTGGGATCCCAGGAACGTGAAGTCTGTCACTACTTCCACAGCTTCCCCTTCTATTTGCCAAGGAGTGATGGGGCCGGATGCCATGATCTTAGTTTTTTTGATGTTGAGCTTCAAGCCCACTTTTGCGCTCTCCTCTTTTACTCTGAGCAAGAGGCTCTTTAGATCCTCTTCACTTTCAGCCATTAGAGTGGTATCATCTGCATATCTGAGGTTGTTGATCTTTTCCCCAGCAATCTTAATTCCCGCTTGTGATTCATCCAGGCCAGCATTTCGCATGATGTACTCTGCATATATATTAAATAAGCAAGGCGACAATATACATCCTTGTATAAATTCCAATTCAGCAGCTTCCGGTTGGATTTTGGTTTTGAAATGTTTCTGTTGAACTATGGTGACCTAAGTCCTTGATGGAATGTCCTGGTAGAGTCAAGTGTGGATATTGCCATTTTTTATGTCAGATTTGTGTTCATTTATTCTTTTGCATGGAGGATGGCTGGTTTCTCCTATGTACAGAGCAGAGGGGCATTGTTGGCACATGAGAGCATATATCACATTGGAGGAGACTATCCTCCAGGCCCCCAGCAGGGGTCAGTCACCAGAGGTCGCCATGACTTCCAGGTGTACACACACTCACGCACATACACTCACACGCACATATTAAAAAAAATACCAAGAAAGGATTATTATTTTTAGCATTCGAGTTTTTTAAACAAATGTTTATGTTGCTTTTCAATTTAAACAAGGTTCTGTACAGGGGTCTTGTTGTAGAAAAAGAGCTGCCGGAGCTCATTAGCATAACTCATTAGCATAACTTATTTGCATATGCCACGCCCCCTGACATCACCGGAAGTGACAGAAGGCCACACCCCCTGACATCACCGGAAGTGTGTCAGAAGGCCCGGCTACTTACCCTCCTGCTTCATCCTCATTCCCAAACGGAATGAGGATCGAAGCAGAGGGCGGGGTAAAGAACTGTATACCAAAGGGAGGGGGAGAGAAAATCTTGTCCTTGGAGGCCTACAATTAATGTTGATGTAAAAGAAATCAATAGAAGACTTTAATCCCTTCTCCTAAAACAAATTCACCAAAACAGGCAAATCGATTGATCCGCATAGCTTCTAAGAAACGGAAGTGGAGATGCGTCTTCTAAACGGCTGAAGATACAGTCCCCTGCAGACTCCTTTGGTCACCGAGTTGCTTCTCGAAGGACGTATCCTTTCCCAGGAGAAATGGCAGCTTCAAGGGCTTCTGCCCAGCTCTTATTTATTTATTTATTGAGATTTATACCCCACCCTCCCCACAGAGTGGGCTCAGGGCAGCTTAGAAGGGGCAATGCCCATATAAAACAGATAAAAGCAATAAAAACATTAATAACAATTGGTCTCATAATAGGTTGATAAGGCATCAAACACTATGGAAGATAAATGTTTAAATCATGAACTACAAAGGTCCTTTGGAACTCTTCCGAGGGTGCAAAATATGGAAGATGAACATCAGTGTACTGATGTTATCCCAGCTTCCAGCAGAAATGCCTTGCAGAGATCGAGAGAGGTGCCTGAACATAGTGAATATCTGTTGTCTTAACACAAAGGGCCCATAAGGCAGAAAAATCCTTTTCAGAGCCCTGTTATACTGTAGCCTTTCCCACAGAGGAGTTTCACAAGTTTAATGCTCTCAGGACAGCTGCAGTGCCGTAAGTCTGTGGTATTCCTACAATGATTGCAGTGCATGATCTACACGGACTGAACGATTAAAAAAAAAAGGAATGTGTCATAGAAATAGGTAGTGGGCTTGTGTGGAACTCCCTGTCACAAGATGTGGGGATGGCCATTGGCCTAGATGGATTTTAAAAGGGGGATTGGACATATTTGGGGAGACTTGACAGTTAGCCATGACAGCTGAATGGGGCTTCTGGGTTTAGAGACGGAATGCACCTGATTGTCAGATGCCGGGAAACCGTGTGAGCTGTTGTCTGCAGGCCCTGATAGCAGGATGCCCCATGGCACTTGGTGGGTCACATTAGGCAACAGAGTGCTGGACCAGATGGCCCACTAGTCTGATCATGACTTCTCTTGTTTTTATGAAGAGCAGTGACCTCATGAATGAATGAATGTTATTGTCCTGCCTTTGCCAGATTCGCCACTGGGCCCCCCACAGAGGATACTTGCAGTAAGACACTCCTCCCCCTGAGAGACCTCTGTGAAATTGAATTCAGCATGGCAGCACAGAAACCAATGTGTCACTATCATTTTAGAACAGTGAAGCTGCCTCAGGCCCCTGTAGCTATGGTGTGCTTTCTTAAAGGCACAGCCCCACAAGCATTTCTCCTGTAAATGCTTTTGTCAATCATTTTACACTTTTTTTTTAAAGGCGTGTGCTCCTTTGAGCACAGTGAAGTGCTGTAGCTGACATATTCCTGCAGTGAGCGAGGAGGTTGGAGTAGGTGACCTCTAGGATCCCTTCTAACTCTGTGCCAAGAAACTGGTCTCCTTCAAGAGAGTTTTTCTGCCTAAATGTTAGCTTTCTTGACTACAAAAGTCATGCTGGCTTGTTCTCAGGATTGTTGCTTAGGCTGGCAGAAGTGAGGAACTTGCAGCAGCTGAGAACTGCCATCTAAAGTGGTCAATGGTTTGCAGTTTAGAGATCTATCCTGGTAACAGCTTTCTATTGGCTGAATGGCTTTTCTTTCTGCACTGAGAACTTCAGCCCCACCAGGAAAAAAAAAAAAACCCCAGAAGCCACAAAATCCTGGCTAGGAGCCTGAACTGCCTTCTACGGAATCAGACCCTTGGTCCAGTCCACTCAGTCTTGTCTGCTCAGACTGGCAGCAGCTCTCCAGGGCCTCAAGCAGAGGTCTCTCACATCACCTGCTACCCGATCCCTTTAACTGGAGATGCTGGGGACTGAACCTGGGACCTTTGGCATGCTAAGCAAATGCTCTACCACAGAGCCATAATCCCTCCTTAGACAGGCAGGGCCGGCTCACTCACTAGGCGAACAAGGCGCTCGCCCTTAGGGGCGCCAAACTGGCACACACACACCCTGCTGTCCTGGTTCAGCTGCAAACACTACTGAGTTTTAAACATGTTATGATCTTTCTGATGATACAAACACTAATTCCACCAAAGAACTTAGACCTCTGGGCACAGAAGGGTCACTCAGCTGAGTCAAAGAAGAATCTGAGTAGGGTGGCTATTGCATAAGGACACTCAAGTTGCAACTGAATTATGGCAACCCCAGCAAGGAACTGTCAAGGCAAGTGAGAAGCAGAGGCTGTTTGTGACTGCGAGTGCCTTTCTTTGCAGAGTCTTCCTTAGTAGAAGCCAGATGTGCAAAGCAGGCAAAGTTACAAAAGCAAAAGTGAGTGTTAAGAGCATGGGTGCCAGGGGAACGGGAGGTCCGGGGTACAGATCCAATTAACGGGTCCAAGCCATGGTGGGCACACGGGAGGGGGGGTCGCCAGAAGGGATCCTCGCCTAGGGTGCAAAAT